CTCAACAAGAAAACAGACTGTACTCTTAAAATTATCCCAAAATCAGGAAACAAGGACAATGGGCTCATCTTGTTTAGTATTCATGGAGGTTTGAAGAAGTCTCGATGTAAAACAGCAGGTGATTCCCAAAGTATATGGGAGGCCTATCCAAAAGCCAATTAGTCCAATAGCTTAGCAAGATAAATCCAAGAGATTCAATGGAGACTCAGGGGTGGGAATCCATTGTCCTCTGTGTCATACATCACTGATCTTAGTCAGAGCAGCTGGGCACACTCATCTTGGTGCTGGTGACTGGATGTGAAAGTGTAAGTGCTGAGCTTTAACCTACTTAGAGACTGTTTAAAAATAGTCCCTCAGCCTTCTATAAGGTCTTGCACTGAGTTTTGTTACATTTGTCTCCTACAGTATGTATTAGTGGAAAAGTACAGAATAATGTGGTGTAGACTTCCTGAAGACACAAGGAGAAGATTAGTGGGACATGGCAAGTCACTTTGAGATACAAAAACAGTAGAAATGTCGTGGCTAATTGGTGACCAGTTCCCTCTTTGGCTTCTGGCATAGGATAAAACTTTGTAATTAGCAGACAAACAAGTTTGAGAAACCTCATTACAGTTCTGGGACTGAATTATTTTCAGGCTAGAATGAAATGGGTATTCAGCAGGTAAAGGTCAAGCTTTCACAATTGTACATCAATCCAGAGGGAATGGAGAACCCCATCCATTTGATTCACAAATCCCAGAAGAAAATTCAAGTCATGGTGATATATTTAGCTGTCTAAAAAGGACACTCCCTGTGATGCAGCTGAGATGAGAGTTCTTCTGACTTCATGGAGGCTGCAGCTTAAAATATTACAGAAGGCAGAAACTGAAATAAATGAAGCAGCATCTACCAAGCCAACCCTAATGAGAACTTAATTCCAAAGGAAATGAATGTAGCTTGTGAGAACAGTGATAACCCCCAACCCTAGAAAGGAGAATTGAAATAAACCCACATGATGGCACACCTTCTGTTTTTAAAACAAGTTCTGGATTAAAAATAGTGATAATTTAATGTCTGATAACCATATTTAGTACGAAAAAAATTAAACCTCACACATTTCTGTCAAAACCACATGAAAAACAAAGACTTCAGCAGAAAGTGTTACAGATAAAACCTGATGTTTTAAAAAATTATTACTTATTTCTGCTTCCAGTTTCTAGAAGAAAAATATTTTCATCCACAAAAGCAAGTTGCTTCACAAAAGGTTTATTTTGATCTTACAAGGAGTTTCTTTGATCACAAAAAAGTCTAAAACTGTTTTGTTTTTTGGAAAGGGATTTCATGGAGCAAAAGGTAAGAGTCCAGTGTCTTTTTCCCCAAGAAAAATTGTAAAAATACAATAGTAGGAACCCTTTGTCAGCTTCTGAGACTAGACAAGCTTTTGGAGAGGAATAAAAAGGATATGAACACAGTGTTTCTCCTTTTAAAATAAAGGCTTTCAGAGCAAAGACACGGACACTGTCAGAAACTCAGTTCTCATGTCTTCTACCAGCTTAACAGTAAGAGAAACTACTAACTGGAAAGTAGTTCTGTTTCCTGACAGGGTATTTAAACTTTGCTCACTAGAAATTCCAGAATTGAGGGGCTTAATAATTAAACAACCTTTTCCCCATGATTACCACATTTGATGCAGAGCTGTGATTGTGTTATTGCTTGATGACACTACAATTTCATGCGGGCCCCATTTTAGGCTGATTACTTGCATTGCTTAATTATAAGGTACATCGCTGCTTGAACTGATTTACTGTTTTACTTATTGTGTCATGTGATTGCCTGATTCACAAAAGCAATTATGCTCGAGCAAAATCACTACCAGAAGCCTGGAGAATTGAACTCCTGCAGTGAGCAAACTGTGTCTTCCCAAGTGAGTTTTTGTTGCTGTGTTTTTTTTTCTTTACCCTTTTCATTTTTAAGACTTGTGCTTCTTCATAAGTGTGAAATAGCACATTGATTACTTGCTCTCCATGGATTTTGAGAGCTCATCTTTTATGGTGCATAAAGCAACATAGGTGAAAGATAACCTGCCTCAGTTGTCAAACAGGTCTGATATTGTTGTTAGTTTGTCAGGGATGGATGGAGGAAGGCAGCACTTCCAGGTTGTCATGTTAGCAGCCCTCCTCATAGGAATTTACAGTGATATTTTCACCTGGACATACCTGCAACCAGGTAAGAAGAGGAAATGTACGAAAGAGGAATTTCCACAAAAATTTCAAGCAGGGGTTTCCCCTGCACTAATCTCCACTGAAAATGCAGTGCAATTTTTTTGGTTTTAGTTGGTTTAAAATGAGAAAATTCCAGGGCCTATTTTGGTGAAAAATGGTCTTCCCCTTATGGATGCTCAGCCATTACAGGAAATATTTTCTTTTCTTGATATGTTAAAAAAGTTTTTCAATACCTCATTGGAAGTATGAGGCATCCTTTGTTTTTGTTTTTGTGGTTTTTTTTTTTTTAGAAGAAAGAAACCAAGAAACATGAATGTTTCATGTACAGGGAGGTAGATAGAGGTAAACCAGTTCTTCAGCCACAAACATTTACTATGAGAAATTGCCTCCTTTTCTTTTTTTTTTTCCCTACTTGAAAACCCAGTTTGTCAAAGCTAGAGGGAAGTCTGCCTTTTGGGGGCTTTAAAGGGAGGCTGGAGCATAGTTTGGAAAAAATTTAGCCTAAGAATAGCCTAATGAAGATGAAGTTACAACTAAGGCCACCTGTGATGTTGCACACTTGGGCTGTGGTGCACAGGTTTCTGTATTGTCAAAGGTTAAATCACATCTTAGAACCAGATCCTGACCCTTATCAGGGAAGGAAGAAACAGCAGCAGAAGTAGGAAAAGAATTGCTGAATTCTTTGATGCTCAGAGCCACATCCAACCTGGCCTTGAACAGTTCCAGGGATGGGGCAACCACAGCTTCTCTGGACAACCTCTTCAGTGCCTCCCCACCCTCACTGTAAAGAAATTCATCTTAGTGTCTAATCTAAAACTACCCTCCTTCAGCTTAAAGCCATCACCTTTAGTCCCATCACTACATGCCCTTGTGTCCCCTTCCTGTCCTTCCTGAAGAGCCTGTATCCTTCCATTCCAACACTCCATTTATAGGAGCCATCCCTTCACGTCTCTGTGGTGCAAATAAGACCAGGAGTCTGCAAGCATGCACACTTCTCTAAGTCAAGTTCACTCCCCATGCCCTGTGTTTGCATAAAGGCATTGAAGTTCAGCCCACTTACTGGGTGGAGTGTCAGGAATTGCCTTGTAATGCTTTTCAGATGCTCTCCTACTGACCTGCAATCCCTCTCCAAGCTCTGGGCATCTCTCACTAATACTGATATCAAACTGGTAGGAGTGGAATGGACTGAGGTTCTCCTCCCACAGCACCTTGAGTTTAAAGCCCTCTTCACCAGCCTGGCAAGCCTAAGGCCAAAGATACTCTTCCCGTTCTCTGACAATGGACCCCATCAACCCCTAGTAGAAACCTCAGATCCTCAAAGCAAGAATTAATGTCAGCAGAGAGGGAAATAGAGAATAAAAAAAAAAAAAATGCTTGATTAATGCATCCCCCTTTCAATCTGCCATCCATCCAAAAAGTGGTGGATGGCGTGTTCTCAGGATGGATTATTTCTGGCACAGGCACAGCTCTGAGTGTTTATCAGATAAAGCTGTCTACTAGTAGGTTTACCAGCTAGACTCTTAGTCCTCACTCTGTGGTGAGAGCACACCAGATATCCATAAGGAAGAAATAGTAGTGCATTTATGTGTCGCAGTGGAAACTGTCCCTCTTTAACTAATGGACCTTGACACAAGGCACACATTAAAGCTTGTGCAGAAACCTGCTAAAATTTTCAGTTGCAGCAAATAAAAGAAACACATGTCGAGTGTGATGTTAAAGGGAAGAAGGCCTGTCCATACTTTCAAGAAAACTCTGTTCTTGGACTCTGGATAACTAGACTGAATTCCAGGCTGCCAGTACTGGGTGGGATGGAGTTGATTTTACTTGTAGCAGCTAATAAGGTGCAATGCTTTGGATTTGTGACCAGAAAATTGTTGGTAATATAATGGTGGTTTAGTTGTTTCTGTACCATGCTTACACAGGGTCAAGACCTTCACTGCAACAAGCAGACTGGGAGGGCACAAGAAGTTGGGAAGGGAAACAGCCGGGATAGGTGACCCCAACTGACCAAAAGGATATTCCATACCCTGTAACACCATGCTCAGCAATAAAAACTGGGGGAAAGAAGGAGAGAGGTGGGGATGTTCAGGGTTATGGTATTTGTCTTCCAAACGAAGATTAGATATAGTGTTAGATATCAAGGATATATAACATCCCTGCTCTCCTGGGGATGACTAAACACCTGCCAGCCATTGAGAAGCAGTGAATTAATTCCTTATTTTGCTTTCCTTGCAAGCACAGCTTTTGTTTTACCTGTTAAAATGTCTTTATCTCAACCCCCGAGTTTTCACATGTTTACCCTTCTGACATCCTTTCACAGTCCACTTGGGGAGGAGTGACTGAGTGGCTCTGTAGGTCTGGGTCTAACCCACCACAGCTTGTCATGTAGATGTGGATAAATCATCTAACCCTGATGTTGTGAGGTCTGTGGCTAACACTGTGCTTTTACTGTGCACACAGGCATTTGTAGAGGCCATGTATCACTTGCATGCATGAAGCTAGACTTATGTTGGAGGTTCACTGCAGGCTCATGGTCAGTGCATCTCTACATCTGCAAAATAATGTGCTGCTACATTCCTCCCCTTAGTCTGTCTTTTCTCTTTCTGTAGAAAACTGCTCTGTGAAGGCAAAGGAAAGCTCTTAATGTGTCATGAGACCCAAGGTCACACCGCTTCTGACACAGCTGGTCAATAGAAGCTAGCTATTGGGTCTTTTGCCCTGTACTAAGATCTGCAGTCACAAGAGAAGAATCCTGTCCTAGCACTCTTGCTGCTGTGATCTCCATCCACTTCTGAGTTTTTCAGTGCTCATGAGAGTAAGTGAGGCTTGCCCCATTGCCTTAATATAAAACCAGCCAGCTTGCTGCTTAGATGAGTTGGTGTTGCTCACACAGGGCCAGCACAAGACATCCTTGTGTTACTACCCATGGAAGTCAAGGTCTTTCTGAATGGCCACACAACCAACTGGTGTTCAGTCACTCCTCCCAGATTTTGTACGGTCCAAAAACTTGCTGAGGATTCATTTGGCTCCTGAACTTAAACTGTTTCACAATCACCAGGACAAATGAGCTCTTCTAGGGCAGCCATTCGCATCCTTGGGCCCACCTGCCTAGGACCTTGCTGAGATACAGAGATACAGGCATGCAGGCTGATGACATTTGCTATGCACACAGTTCTCAGGAATGTCACTAAACTTTACTGGCTTCTCTTACCTGCTGAATCCCAGTGTTTGAGACACTGGACTAGTTTTGCAGAGGTGCTCGAGTGAGTCCTGTTTTGTGGCCTCACTGGAAACAGTGTCACCCCACGTACCATGATAGCAGAGATCTGCTGCTGCGTGCATCAGTCGGGTCAAACATTGCCAGTTACTTTGACACAAGAGCAGACAGAGTAACCAGAAAGTGACTCATTTCAGAACTTTGCTAGTAACCCCTTCACCAGACACAGAAAATCTCCAAGCACTTGTATTGAGACAAAATTGCTGAAAATTTTTTGGGGGAGGAAAGAAAGGTTAAGTCAACATGCAGTTTCTTTCAAAAAAGCTCTCCTCCTGTCAAAACAGGACTGAGAAGACTAAGAAACAGGATGTTTCTGTACAGTTCTACTTTTAACATGGCAGTGGGAAGCATGAGACCCATGCCTGATTCACCAAGGCTGAAGAGAAATGAGGCTATATGCTTACAAAATGTTTCTCACTGGGGCAAAAACATGTGATGGAAGAAGAGATGAAATTCCCTTAGTTTCTAACCCTTTCAAAACTCTAGTAGATTCCATTTTTTGCCATCTAGTAGATGCCTTTTTTTGCAACACTGTCTCCTCTGGATAATTCCCACTCCCATTAATTCCCTTCTGACAATCTGAAGTGGGTAGACTACCAAGATAGCACATTACCCACCAAGAATCATATAGGGGAAATGATATTTTCTTCCACCTGAATGCAGATAAAAAATATCAAAGATCGTCACCCAGCTGTCTAAATGGAGTCAACTAAAACCACGTCAAGGAAACAATATTTTGGTGAGTTCATTTTGGTTTGTTTTTTGTTTGTTTGTTGGTTTGGTTTGGTTTTTTGGTTTGTTTTTTTTATCTGGAGGACAGGCAAAACAAAAGGCCAATTCCTGTTGATTTTTTAATTCTACATTTTCATAGAACTTCTGTATGAGTTATTCCACTGAATGATTTAGTATCCAATTAACTAGAGCTAAAGAGGCTTTTTTAGATTTAAAATATCACCTTTAACAAAACAAACAAAAATGCCTGAGAATTTTTTTCTCTCTTTAAAAGCTTGACAAATCTAGAAAGAACCATTTATTATAGAAATGAACCAAGCAGAGAATAAATACATGATGCTTTGATCACTGCCAAATTACTCAGGGTTTTATAAAGCTGGCCTTTCCCCTCAATTTTAGTTTCTCAAAGTCTATATTAAAGCAAGGTTTTTGTAGTTGTGAACTTAAAGCTAATTAAAATGAAATTACTTGTAGAAGTGAAGACATCTGGCTTTTCCATGCAAAATGACAAGTTTTTAACACAGTGGAAAAGAGCTGTCCCATGACTCATCTCCTATTGCTTTACAAAGTTTTTATCTTCCCTTTTTTTTTTTTATTCTCTCCTAGTAGTTAACAGTATTCTCCATAAGTTTATCTCAATAAACCTTTCTAGGGTCATTCCTATGACATTTAACTAAATATTGTAAGAGTATGTGGAAGGAGAGTCTCTTCTTCTTTAGTGATATCTGGTTAAAGAAACCATAAATATGAACGAGCAGAGACAGAAACCAGAATGACAAGTTATAAGAGAGATTCCCATCTAAACAAACCTGGTCAGTCATACCAACTGATGAGATATCAAGAACCTTCAGGCAAACTTAGAAATTTTAGAAGGATAAGGATGCAAACCTGAGGATCCAGGATACGGGGGTGCATCAGTAGGACTATTCCAGTTGAGGAGGCAATGTGCAGGAGAAGAGGGAGCAGGGAGGAACAAAGAGGTGGGGTAAATATAAGGGTACAAAAGAGGTGTATTGCCCTTGAGCTGAGGTCAATCAGTCCAGCAGAGCCCGATGCCTCACGACTACAATGTGACCTGTCTCTTCCTAAACACTTTTCTGTGTGATTTCACTCTCTATCCCAGGCATATGAGTGCTGCAAGGAGTCAGTGCCAGCTGCTGGGATAGCAGCACATGAGGAGTGGGAACCACCTGATGGAGTGAGGCTGGAGCTGTGGGCACCCCTGGGCGCCGGCGTTGGCTGCTGAAGTGAGTGGGGGAGCCTCAGTGCCAGCAACTGGAATGAAGGGGATCTTGAATCTACAGCCACTGGGATGGGAACAGTTTGTATCTGAAAAGAAGCTTCCGGGGTGAATAGTGTGAGTGTGACCACAACCCTTGTGCCTGGTGCCAGCTGGTGGAAGGGGTGTTAGTATCTTCCCCAGACCTGCTGTACAGGGGAAGTGTGTGGGTATTCCCTGGCAATCTTCAAGCTGATACCAGCTGATGAGCAGAGGAAACTCGGTTCTAAGATGGGGTATCAGGTGGATGGAGAGGGCCTGTGAGTGTGGGGTGTCTGCAGGATGAGTATGAGTGCTGTGTAGTCAGCAGGATCATACTCAACATCCCTTAACACATAGTAGAGAAAAAAAAAGGTATGATATTTTATCCTTAGTACTTAGTACTAATTGACAACTTTGTGTCAGAACACAATGAGAAGGTTGTTCTTCAAAGGAAAGCGAGCTGAGAGCAGAGCACAACAAGAAGGGAGGCATGAGTGGGTAGCTCACCTGCAAGGAGCCAGGATATAGCATGTCCAGGTCAGGATCAGGGCCAGAGACATTGCTGAAGACCAGATACAGTCCACTGATCAACCAGCACTTTTATAATGATGAGGCAGGTCTGAGCCCTAAACAGGAAGCCAAGGCTTTGTGTTAGGGTCAGGACAAAGGAATTATGAGACCAGGCACAGATGTGGTTGCTGCGTGGTTTTGCTGTGGGTGGCAGGCAGGGGACTGCAGTAAAGCTTCACCTTAAAAGTAGTTCCCAAGGGAAAAAAGAGGCAGGCTCTTATTTTTACCTTTTCTCAAAAGAGTTTTTAACAGCAAAAGAGCTGAATTTGGTCTTAAGTCAGATACACTCTTTAATTTAACTAGCTAAACTAGGACAGGGATGGGCTCACATCGTGTTGGGCCTCTCAGACATAGCCAGATTTTGCAGACTTAGAATATGGTGATGGATTGAACATTGTCAGAGGAAGGTTGGCATCATACAGAGAGAAGACTCTAATCTCCCCACCAAAAGCTTTGGATGTGTTTTTTCTAAGCATGGTAGAAGGACAGTATGGCAGGGGCAAATAGTTGAACAAGGACTTTCTCCAGGTGGTGATGAAAACAGATGGGATTAGATATAGATGGTCCATCTGAGGGGCTGCAATTAATCAGTTCTCATTTGCATGGTGAGTTCAGATTAATCTGGAATAAAGGTATTGTTTCTCTTCCGGGACTGACAGGAGCAAGCCAAGATGTTGGAATTTTTCCAGTTCTAGAAGTCAACCAAATGGATAAGTACTTGAGGTAAAAACCTTTAAAGAAATTAAATTACCTAGAAGCTCCCCTAGAGGGCTATATGAATATCCCCAATACATATGGATTAATATTTGTAGTTATAATTCATGATATATATGTCTATACTTGCGTATCTATTTATATATTTTCTACAACTATTTTCCACTTCCTGAAAAGGAAAATACAAGCTCATAAATCATCCTCAAAGCAGGCCAAATATATCAACCAACCTTCAGGTGAATCCAGCTGAAAGAAGAGAATTAATTAATATAACTTGACACTGGCCACAAATGTATTACTGACTCAAAGCAGTGGAACTATTTATTGCTGCATTAACTGCTGTGAGTACTGCAGTGGCATAAATGATGTGTTCTACAAAGACATAATCTTCTTCTTACAGGGTGTGCATCATAAATCTGACCATGAGGACACTTGCTTTTAACTTTTAAGTTCCTCATCAGAGAAGGTGACTCACTCTTACTGAAGGCTTTTCCATTGATTCTGCTGGATGTTGGAGCAAAACATTTAATTAATATTAGATTCAGTATGCTGTCAGTATCAATAAGAATGTACCCTATTTACAGTATAGCAAAAATTCACTCACGGATTTCAGGAAAGCAAAATGTCAGACTATCTACTCTGTGTCTTTCCTACTTCATGTTCTACTTTCCTAAATATGGTTGTTGTTTCACCAAGGTGGGTGGAAAGAGTCCTCTGAGGATACTATATCTTTTTCATACATCTGCAAACGTGGGCTCCATGCCCTGCTTTGCCATAATTTGTGTGAGCTTGGGAAAAACACTTGCTTATTCACTAAAAAGATGATAACATAAAAGAATGTCTCCAGCTCTATTAGGAGAATAAAAATGAAGCAACGCAGAGCAGATTTACCTTGCACGAAGTAACAGGAGTCGTTTGGCAGAGAAGACAGAGGATAAGTTCCACAGGAAGGACTTCTTTTCTTTTTTTCAGAAATGCATTCACATGTCCATGGTATTCTTAATTCACTGTTACAAGGGAAGTGTAAAGTAGTTAACACTAAAACCTATGGATTTACTCAAGATCCAGGAAAAAGAGTTATTAAAATGTTACAAACTGAGAAAGAAGACCAGCACAAAAATTGCACTTGTTTGCAAGTGATTTACAGTACAAAAGAGAGCTTTAAGTAATTCATTCATCTTAAAAAATGCAGCCAGTTCTAGATAGAGACCCTTTGTTGAAACAGCAGGTCTCATTTCCAATCTAAATTACCAAAAAACCCCAAACCTAAATAGAAATGACAGATATTTCAAAATGCTTAGAGAAATTGAGCAATTATCTGTGTTTAGGACTGCATGAGCCCAGTCTTCAGCCAAGACTTAATTGAATCCCTCCTTGGTTTGAGAATTGCTCATCAGAGCCCTCACTGGATAATCCCCATTCCCTTGATGTCATTTATGGCAGCTATTCACTTGAATAGCTCCCATGTATTCTGCAGTCTCCTTCCTTGAATTGATTTACTGTATGTTTTCAGGTGAGCAGGTACTACCTCCAGTAATTTTGACATTGCTCCAGGGCTTCATCTGGCCTTGCTGGATCAACACAGACAGGTAAAGCACAGACATGTTTTGCAATCTTCTCTTTCTGAAGAAGCACAAAACTGAGCTCTGCATCTTATCTTTCATATGGCACTTCCTGCAAAAAAGAAGATGGACTTAGCTTTATGGACAAATATATCACTAGCTTTGAAAAATCTGACAGCCTGGAGGACATAAACATAGTAACAGCAACAAGAGAAGAAATAATTTTCATATGTGTAAGAATAGTTTCAAAGGCAGCTCAGAACCTTGGTTAACAAGGCTTCCAAATGTCACCATGAAGTTGTTCACTTCTGCATCTGATCAATAGAACATAAACACTTCTCACCAGTCTGGGATCTGACATCTGCAGTGTTTCTTTCTTTGCAGCAACAGGACTTCATTCAGCTACACACAAGAGCATTTGAGTGCTAAACTGTAACTCCATGAAAGAGCTGCAGGAGAGCATCAACACACCACACAGCATCAGAAAGCACAAGAAAGACATGAGCCTCATCATGTCTAAGATACTGCAGCTTCAGAGTTCGAACCTTCAGCTGTAGCAGAGGGGCAGGAAGAGCCTGTGCCTACAAAAACTCTGATCATGATGAAGACTGCAAGCTGGCGATGACTTACATTAAGAGGAAGGTCCTGCCCCACCTAAAGACTTGAAACTAGAGAATACATTTACTGTCCTCATTCCCGATGAGGAGATGAAAGTGCTGCCAAATGCATTTTTTCTTGCAGCTGAATCTGAGCTACCTGGGACCACTACAAGGAAATGGTGAGTGGTAGCGGTAGGAAACCCCACCACAGGTGATGAAGGCTCTCAACTTGGTTTTCCATTAGGGAAGGCTTGCTGCTTATTGGAGGCTTAAATTCAGGATGATGTGTAGAGGCTGCTAAGGCTCATCTAACCTGTGCTGCTGTTCTATGGAGGCTCTGCCAGGGGAGACCTAGGAAGTGACTACAAGGCTCTGGGAACAGTGGGGGAGGGCATGGGAAACCAGGTGGTGTTCTCCCCAATCCTGCTGTTGAGGGACAAGGGCCTGAGAAGGACTGGGCTGATCCTACAGATCAGCAGTTGATGTCTGAGATGGTGTTGGCAGCAAAATTTCAGTGTCTATGAACTTGGGACCCCCTCTGAAGATCAACTTGGAAGAGGCAGGATCCACCTGACAAGGTGAGGTAAAGGGATCTTTGCCAGGAGGCTTGCCAACCTTAAAGGGAAATGTTTAAATTAAATTATGGTGTCACAGAGTGATTTGTGAAATAACAAGTGAAACAGTTGTGGATCAAGTAGGAAAGCCAAAAGCCAGGATGACTGGAGGAGAAGGGAGATAGCAATCAACAAAAAATGGGGGTGAAATGCAATCATTCCAAGTGTAGGCATGTAAAGAAAGAACAGCCATAGGGAAAAAGCCCTCATACCTGGTCTGGGAAATCAGCATGCATAATTGTCTCTCTGAAACATCTCTACATTGACACATACAGCATAGGGAACAAACAGGAGAAATTAGAATTCTGTGAACAGTTTTAGGACAATGACGTCTCTGGGCTTATGGAAATACAGAGTGTACACTCACATGCCTGGAGTGCTGTGATCAGTGGGTACAGCCTTTTCAGCAAGGACAGGCCAGGAAGATAAGGAGGGATAGTTGCTCTCTATGTGACAGCAGCTGAAATTCATGGAGCAGTGCCTGGTTTCAGACCTTAATAAAAGAGGGGTCCAGGAAGATGAGACATACTTTTAAGAAGGAAATTTTAAAGGCACAGGAGCAGGCCATCCTCCTGTGCCAAAGATCCTGGAGTATGTCCAGAGAGGCAAAATAGCTGAAGGGTAAGTCCTATGAGAAGCAGCTGAGGGAGCTGGGGTTGTTTAGCCTGGAGAAAAGGAGGTTTAGGGGAGACCTTACAGTTATCTACAACCACCTCAAAGAAAGCTGCAGCCAGCTGGGGGTCGGTGTCTTCTCCCAGGCAACCAGCTACAGTACAAGAGGTCAGAGCCTGAAGCTGCCCCAGGGGAAGTGCAGGCTGGATATCAGAAGGAATTTCTTTACAGAAATAGTTGTTAAACATTGGAATGGACTGCCCAGGGACATGGCAGGGTCACCATCCATGGAAGTGTTCAGGAAACAACTTGATGTGGCACTTAGTTATATGACTTAGTTGACAAGGTGAAGATTGGTCAAAGGTTGGACTCAATGATCTTAGAGGTCTTTTCCAACATAAATGATTTTGTGAAATATGTACCATCTGCTGTCTTTAAATTGATATTGGTGCCAGCCTAATAGAACAAGAAAGAAAAAGACAAGCTTAAATATTGACTATAACACATTCAAGAACAAGTAGTTTCAAATTCTAGCCACAGCCAGCATTTCTCTTTCTTCCATCATATATGAGCACAAGTCAGAGAAACAGAACACATAGATAATATTATCTCTCTGAAGACATTTGTAGCCATAGAATAGTACGTAGCCTAAAACTCATGAGGTATAATTTCATTTTAACCATTTCAAAGGCAGACTTTTTCCTCAAATAAAAATATTTTTCCTCAAATAAAAACATTTTTCCTCAAATAAAAAGTTCCAATATAAAGCAGAAACAAAATCCTAACCTATCTTTAAAAAATTCCTTCAAAATGTTGTGTCCAATTTTATGATAAATTCCATATCAGGATATCAGCTTCCCTGTAATTAGGCATTCAAGTTATCCAGAAGTGTTGTTTGTGGCAAACTAAGCTTAGTCAGAAGAGAGAGGAAAAGACATAAAATAATCAGGCATTTGTTACATCATACCTAAATGTCCACAGTTGCTGGCTGTGTTAAAAAATTAGCTATTATACATTCAAAGCAGTAACAGGATCATAAAATTTTCATACTTACTTTCAAAGATAACAGATCTTTTCACAAAGCTGGCTTAGAAATAGTGTCTCCTGAATGGCTGTAAATGTGGAGATTCTAAGCAGCCAAATGCCTTTTTTAAAAATCTTAACTTAAAAACTTTAAAAAAAAAAAGTTTTAATTCCAGACAATAGATGTGTGTGAAGGAGAAACAAAGTAAATTTCTCAGCAAGTGCAAGAGAGCTTGTATAAGCAATTTTGCTTGATTCAGGCAAGAACATCTTCCCTAAGCCAGCCTTGCCTACACACTTCCGTCTTGTGACCCAAATGGCTCTCCAGTTAAATGGTGGTCACTTATGGGAAATTATGGGAAATCACTTTATGGGAAATTTGATGTCTTTGCAGCTGAGGTGATCAGCTTAAGCTTGGGAAGCATTAGTAGAGGCAACAAGGCACCAAGCAGAGATGTGAGGACTCCAGATGTGCAGGTATCATAAAATCTCTGGCAGGGTTGTTAATGAGTCATAAGCATGTATTCACTGAGGGAAGATAGTTGTGCCCAGTATGTACAACCTGAGATTTGAGACAGAAGTCGAATTTGCTGAATCAAGTATTTACAGGAGTTCTTTCATTCAATTGTTGCTAAACTTAAAAAAAAAATAAAATTGCTTTATAATGGGAAAGCTGACAATATCTTAATTAGAACAGGAGGGATAGGTACCAGACCAAAAAATTACATTCCTGCTCCTTTTCAAAGTCAGGAGGAGATTCAGCTTTACCTGCATTTGTTGTAATTGCTTGAGCATTTCTTGATTATAACAACTGTAAAACAGCATCCATATCACCCACATCACCTATGACAAAAGGCAGTGACTGTCTCTTGTCTCTGCATTAGCTGGAGTCCTGTAAAGACCCTAGTTTATTGCAGTTATTTTCTGTAAGTGCAGGCTGTATTTTCTATAACCTTTACAGGCTTGCGTCCTTTATTCCCTGTGAAAGCTGAGGGAGACTATTGTCCCTCTGCTATTGAAAGGAATTGAAAGGGAAAAAATAATTTAATGTGGGCCATTTCTGGGATTTAGGGCCAAAGGGCTGTGCATTGTGTCACAGGGCAGTAGTCCTCCCTCAAAAGCTTACTATTTAAATGGGGTGGAGCTGCCATCCAAGGCTGAAGTCCAGGCTACAAAATCGTTGCCCAAAATAAGGGCTCCCTAAAGTAGCTTCCCTTACTTGATTCTCATTTCAAGAAGCCTTCTTCGCATTGCTCTAATGGCATTACTAATTTTATACAGTGATGTTTTTTAATCCCAGGCGTGTTTCACTGCCATGTTAAAGAGATTTCTAAAACTGAGCTGGATACTTGCCTTGGCAGAACAACAGCATACCATACTGGCCAGTTAAATCTGGGACAAAATCTAGAGAGCACAAAAATCCACACCTGCTTTTAGACAAAGAGGAGCCAGTGCTGCTTCCAGGGAGAAAATCATGGTCGTGGTCCATTGCATTGGATCTCCATGTAACTTCCTTATTTCCTACAGCGAAGCTGTCTCTTTTTTAGGGATCTTTAATACCATATTTCACTCTCCTCCTTCTTAAGCTACCTACCACGGTTCAGTGAAACTGTATGATGTGTAGCAACACAGCTCATTAAAGCTCTACAGCATTTCTGGAATCCAACTCCACTCCTCCACAGCTCCCCCCTCCACACACACCCCCCCAACAGCAGTGATCCCAGCAGTCAGAAGGTTTAGAAAGACACAATGTCCTTGCATTGCAGATGTCCTCTGGGTTTACTGTCCACTGAGTTCCTCTGCCCAAACAGGACTCTCCAAACAATTCTGTGATCTGGGAACACTCTGCAGTCTTCGGCTTGAATCTTCTGCTCTTCTGCCAAGATCAGACAGTCTTTGTCAGGCTTATGACTCCAAGGGAGCAAGTGTGGATAGAACCAGACCCACATGCCCACACTTTTATGACTATTTAATTTCCAAAATTCTTCCTCAAAGAAAATCCAGGTCAAAGATGGACACAAAACCAGAATCCCAGATACCCCTTCTGAGCTGCTCTGGTCCTCCTTCAGTATGTCTAAAATCTGACATGAATTCAAATAATTCACAAACCATACAAGTTGAAACAGTAATGACAGGTTGGTTGCATGTAGAGTTTCTCCCCTTAGACTGGTAATCCACTTAAAATATTCACATTTATTTTATCCAGCAATATTTATTTATTAAAGTTTTGGTGGTGATCTCATCCCAAGTGAAATACGGGGGGAAAATGAGAGTTCCTTTCATCTTAAATTTCTTTTAAAGTACTGACCAAAGTATAAGGTATCAAGTTATTTTAATTTAGTAATATTGTCTCCTCTTCCTTAAAACTTACAGACTATTTTGTCTATAGCTACAAAAGTGAAAATTAACAACAATCTCTCTATATTCTGTAAATTACAGAAAGCCCCAAGTTTCACTTCTATCTTGGTTTGCTGGATACTAAATAGTTGTTTCCCAAGCCTCCTCCTAGGCCAGACTGACTCTCTTTCATGTACACCATCGAGGTCTCTTCACACACTTATTGCCCCAGTTTGAAACAGAGGTGTTTCTGTGTGAGAAAAACCTCTCCTGCTATGTCCCCGTTCAATTCTCCATTCACCTTTGCTTTTGTGACAGCTCACAATAGTCAGCTGTGACTCGGTGTAGATCACTTTCTCAACTGCAAGCAGCTGCTGCACAGCCCTGTGGAGTTTCTTTGAGTTGTTTACACTCACAGAACTTTTCCTTAACCACTCATCATTTTATCTACCTTCCTGTTGTTCCTGTTGAAGGGCTCAGCAGGAAAACAGAACACATCTTTGTGGCCTCCTCTCCTTCCATGAGGCAGAAAACTACAAAATAATATGGGGAGTCCAGACTGGCAGAAAGGTAAGATGTCCAGAGGGTTGAGAGTGACGTGCATCAGAACGACAGAGATATCTCATAGAACCCAGATAAGAACTGCAGTTCTTCAGAAAGTCACTCTATCTCCTCTGCTTTCCATCTGGAAGCTTCAGGCTTTTCTTAATATGACTGGAAGCACCAACAGAGAATTCTGTGAACACATGCTCATAATAATTAGGAAGTACTGACACTGTGAAACCTTTGGAAGAGGATTTTATCAAGCAGATAAAATCCAGATCAATATTGGAAAGCTCTAAGCACAAATATTTTTACTTCCTTTTGTGGCAGGTTAGCCTTGGCTGACTGCCACACCCCCATTCAGCCAGCCTTTCACTCTACCTCTTTAATAGGACAGGGGAAGAAAATAAGATGAAAATGCTCTTGGGTTAAAATACAAACAGGGAGATCACTTACCAATTACCATCATAGGCAAAACAGACTAAACTTGGAGAAAACAATTTCATTTGTTTCTCATTAAAAATAGAGTATGATGGTGAGGAACAATGACAAAACTAAAACACCTTCCCCTATCCTACCTCTTCTTCTCATGTTTAAGTTCTCTCCTTCGCTCTCAACTTCTTTCTTTAAAAACAGCACAGAGGGGTGGGGGTTATGGTCAGTCCTTGAGGGATCCTCTCTGCTGCTTCTTCCTAATCACACTTTTCCCTCGCTTCACTATGGAGTCCCTCCCCACAAGATACAGTCCTCCTTGAACTGCTCCTGTGTAGGTTCCTCACAGGCTCTGGCTTCTGCCAGAAAACCTGTTCCTGCGTGGGCTCCTCTCCATGGGCTGCAGCTCCTGCCAGGATTCTGCTCTGACGTAAGCTCTTCATATGCTTGAAGGTTTTTCCAGGATATCTCCACCTGTTGCAGTGTGGGGTTCTCAATGGGCTGCAGCGCGGACATCTGCTCCACTGTGCTCCTCCACAGCTACTCTTCTCTGCTCTAGTGCTCTTCCTTCTTTTCTCATCTTGGTGTTTCCAGGGCTGTTTCTTACGTATTTTTCTGACTCTTCACCCTCTCAGCTGCTGTGCAGCATTTTCTGCCCTTTCCTAACCATGTTGCCAGAGATGACATTGGCTTGGCTGAGGGGATCAGCTGTGAGGCTCTGCTCTGCAGTGAGTCTGGCACACAGATGTGCAAACGCTAACTCACACACAAATGTAATTAATTTTCAACTCAAATTTCATTATTTGTAATGCTTGGCAGCATGGATTGCAGGGTAAAGAGTTCCACAAGCCACCCTTGAAGAAGGAGGACAGAATATATTTTTACATCCCCGTCTGAAAGCACAAAAAGCCAACTAAAAGCACAAGAAAGGAAGGTACTACCAAGGGTGCTTTCCAAATGAAACCAGACCAAGAAAACTCTCTGTTAGAATTACCATTAGCACTGATTAGGAAAACACAAGAGTCAAACATCCTTTCCAAGCAGCCCAGCCAATGGACCCCCTCATTTGTCAAAGCCAATCTCACGATGGTGAGTTCCTACCCACTTTTAGCCCCAGCAGAGATGGGCAAGAAAGCAAGTAGAGAGTAGTGGATTTGTCTGTGATGGATTTTCCCAGAAGGAACTCATATGTACTATGTTTTGGATTTCTGATTAAAAAAGAGATGATGATGAAATAAGGGTGTTTCAGTTACTTTTGGGCTGTGCTTGCAGAGTGTTGTGATGATTACCCCCACCTCCATGAGCTACTCTGTGCTCTCAGGAATTCTCATTAAGCCTAGGTCATAACTAATGGCTGCTGGACAATTAAGCTCCCCTAGAGCTTATCAGTAACACTGCCTATTCTCAAGAACTTCTGCTGCCTAATAAACTTCTGGTTTCTATCAGATAGCCTTGGAAAATTATTTCTGTGTGAATCACAGCCAGAGTGAAACAAAATTATTGTTACTGGACTTCTGATGAAAATTATTGACCTGGATTGAGGCCAGGATGGAAATTGATGTATGACTAAAGCCAAGCATCTTGCAACCCTCTGAACGGGGATTCTAAGTGAGGCCCTTTGAACTCCTGTGGCCACAGTGGCTGTGCCAGCACCTCTCTTGGAGCAGGATGTCTCTCTGAGTTCATCAACTCACAGGTCTGAGAACTCTGAGACTGTGATTGAAAAGTGACGATGGGGCTGGGCTGGTACCACCCTCCCCAAGGCTCAACCCTTTGCCCACTGAGAAATGCAAAGGCATCCAATGGTATTTCACTGAACTCAACAGGTACCTTTGCATACATATACACATCTGTGTGTGTATATATATATGCATACATCCATGTCTGTGTCTGCGTATGTAAATTGATTTCAATACTCTCTAGCAAGTGTAGCATCAGTGTTGCCATCTTACATTTGTAATTAAGCCACTGTTTTCCTTGTAGTAAATCCTATTGAATCATTCTGTAAGCGTTAAATTAGTCAGTGATTAAGTGCTGCCAAATCCTTTAGACATAAATCACTGAGCAATTCCAAGGCTAAGTTTGGCAATGGGGTTCACTCTGAACCTCATGAACCAGTGGGTGGGTCTCCCTTATGCCTTTGCACCCTTACCATTCTCCATCCTTACCCTTTTGCATCCCTTGTCTTTGTGTACATTGTTCTGGGTTGATTCTAATCAAATTTTCCTTTGTGCCCTGTATCTATGTAGCAACAGAGGGAACCTTGGCACAGAACTTTGTTGTGCTTTCACAAATTTGTATTAAAATTGCTTTTGCTAATACCTTTGCTGATACCTTTGATACCTTGGATATCTTTTCTTTAAGCTACCTTAACCACTCATTCAGGACAGCCATCAAGACCCTCTCTATTCCTTACCCCACCCCACAGGTGGTCAGGCTGGAAGTGCACAAGCATTTGGAAGGAGATACAGCTGGGACAGCTGACCCCAGCTGACCAAAGGGATGTTCCATGCCCTGTGGCATCACACACAGACAAAAAAATCTGGAGGAAAGAAGGAAGAAGGGTTTAATTTCAGAGTTATGACATTTGTCTTCCCAATTAACTGTTACAAATGAGGAAGACCTGCTTTCTTGGAAATGGGAATACCTGCTGATGGGAAGTAGTAAAAGAATTCCTTATTTTGCTTTGCTTGTTCATGCAGTTTGTGCTTTTCCTTTTAAACTGTCTTTAACTCAACACATGAGTTTTATAAGTTTTATACTTCCAATTCTCTTCCCCATTCTACGGGGGGAGAGTGAGACAGCAAGCATCTGGGTGTAGCAGAGATGCCCACAGGATTAACCCACAACAGAGGGTTTTATCAGGAAATGGAACAACTTGTTTCTGAGATAGAAATGGACTTTGTCAGTTATTGTTGCTGTTTGGCATGCCTTAGTTAACATCCAAAGACAGCTGGCCTTCACTGCAGCAGCTCTCCACAGGCAGCAGGACACTGTAGTCAACTGTGGAAGAGTATCTGCACTTTTAAGAGGTGTGGAAGGAAGTCAAAAGCCTTGCTTGCTTGCTACCCCATTCCCAGTATTCACACTACTCCCTCAGTTCCCATACCTACACTCTCCAATACCTCGCATTACACAGCTAGTGCAACAAGAGCTTGAAGTCCTTATCTGCTTCTCCTAAAAATGATAAACTATTCTGCTTTCCTAATCCTCTCCAACTCACCAAGCACTATAGGAGCCTCAAATCATTTTCAGATGAAGATTTTAAGTTTAGCACCTCCCAGGTGGGTGTTTGCTAATCACAGCAAACCAATTTATGGTGGTATAAACACCACTGCCATCAGAAGGGAACTGCCACAGACCACCCCTTCTGTATGCAACACGCTGCAGAAATCCCACACTCCTAAATGCCACGTTTTGTCGCTGGCAGGTTTATCTGTGTGTATGCTTCTGTTGCTGAGAGAGAGATCATGTAGAAAAAACTCCAGGCCAGTTTGGTGCATAAGATAAGATAAAATGAGAAGGTCCTTTAATCAGGCCCTCAGGCCCAGGGGAATACACACAACACGCTCACACCCAGGCAGTGGCTCTATGGTTTTATAATAAAGTCCATCCAATCCCAGATTTATCCAATCCCTGGTTCTGCCCAGTTCTGCTCCCTGACACACCCCTTCAGGAATGGAGTCTGGGGTCTTTAGGACCCCTTCTTCCTCATCTTCATCTTCTTCACAGCATGCACAATCCTTGGAGGTCCTCCAAAGTTTGGGGCTTGAAAGTCACTTTGTGTGTCGCAGTATCTTCTTGTCCAGGCCCAGGGTGAAATGTTCTTAAATAGAGGGTGTTTTCTACAGTTCTACCTTGAAAAGAAATCTAAACATGTAAAGGAATTTAGGAAGTTTGATATAAAACTGGGTCATATGGTTGGGTATTTGTAAACTACCATGCTAAAGGGTAAGGGAATATACAGTTAGTTACATTAAAATCTACATTTACTACACAACTATTTCTAAAATTTACAAAAGTTGAAGAAATCGAAGAATTTTTGAAGCATCACTTCTATCCTGCTGTTGGATAGACAGGGCTTGTCATGGCAGTATTTCCTACTTCATTCTGTCCTGTAACACAAAGACAAAAAACAGTATTCAAAACATTCTCTTTTAAATAAGAACCATCTCCTTCCCTTCAGTAACAACAGCAGTGCATTTTGTGAACTTTCCAGGTGGAACTTCACATTTCAGTCTGCCCCATCTTCACTGAGTATAACAGGAACAGCATCAGTGTTTATATGGGCTTCTTTTGGACAGTTTAGTAATACCAGTTGGAAGGATTACAGAAAAAAAAAGCAAGAGTCCCCCCATGGTATAGATATTTTGCATACTAGGGCATTGTTTACAACAAAGTGTTACTCCTAGCATTAGTGAACCGTACAAAGACCCAACAATCACTGCCCACCACCTGGCCCACAAGTTGTTAGTCATTTCTTGATTATCACATCCGTTCTCCTGGGTTTCAAAAACAGATTCCTTAAAGAACTAAGAACCCAGAAAATTTAGTTTGGCACAGGAAAAATCTGCAGAAATAGTTCCAGTTTTGATCACTCAGCATTTCTCAAGATGCATGGCTATGTTGGGAAGCTCCTGAGTATCTTGAAGCCTAACATTGATAGATCCCTAAAAGATGAGCCAGAGAGTTCTGTCTATGACAAATATAACATGGCAAACAAAGGCTCAGTGACCTTCACTGTGGAGCTGAGGTGAGCACACAGAAGGAGATTAACCATCACTGAGATGTTTGGGCACATACTGGCCATCAGACCCATTTTTCAGATAACAGGCAAGAATAATCACAACCCCTAACTTACAAAAGGGCTTCAAGAAGGTACTTCTCTCATTGTATATAGGTTAAAAATGGAGAGAAGAAGGTAGGGAATTTTTGTATTTCAGCTAAGAGACCTTAACAAACTCTTTTTCATGGATGAGTGAAGAAAGGTATGTGGGAGTGGAAGGAATGCATCATTCAGTAACCAGAGATGACACTATTAGCAGAGTCATGAGCATAGTTTAGTGCAGGAAAGCAATATAGATTCTGAAGCATACTGAAGGTTCTTCATGGAGGACAGGGGTGAGACAGTGGAGTGGGTTATAGATGTGCTAAGTTGGAGATGTGAGCAAGAACCAGCCTCAGCAGCTGCGTATCAAATCTCTAATCACTAGGGTGGTCCAGGCCCACATGTGGCTTTGGTCAGACATTTCAGGTGTTGAAACCAGTAACCAACAATGCCATATCCTATCTGGGGACACAGCAATGGCAACTGAAGTAAGTCTCAGGCAACAACAAGGGAAAACACTCTGGTCTGGAAAACAACAGAGATGGAATGGATTGGAAGGCATTTCCAGCATGAAGGCCATGGGCCAGGGTCCTGCTTAGAATGAACAAGTGGTGTTTTAAGTAGCATCATTCACCAAACAATAAAAACATTCTTTACCACAGACAGAGACAGTTCATTTTTGTGGAAGATGGACTCTAAGCAGAAAGTCCCATGCTTCAGGGAATGTTCCAGATTAGAGTCTGGCTTCATAGAATGACAGAATCATAGAATGATTTGGGTTGGAAGAGGACCTTGTAGATCACCTAGCTCCAACCCCCTGCTGTGGGAGGGATTGGAACTTCAGCTAGACCAGATTGTTGAGAGCCCCATCCAACCTGGCCTTGAACACCTCCAGGGATGGAGTACAGATTTTTTTCCTAATATCTAATCTAAACCTACTCTCTTTCAATTTGAACCTATTCCCTCTTGTCCTGACACTACATGCTCTTGTAAACTGTCTTACCCCATCTTTCATGTCAGTTTCCTTTTGGTACTGCGAGGCCACAATTAGGTCACTCTGAAGCCATCTCTTTTCCAGGCTGAACAGGGCCAGTTCTCTGAGCCTTTCCTCATAAGAGAGGCACTCCAGACCTCTGATCAGCTTGGTAGCCCTTCTCCAGACTTGCTCCAACAGGTTGATGTCCTTCCTGTGCTGAGGACTCCAGAGCTGGACCCCAGAGTGTTCCAGGTGGGGTCTCACCAGAGCAGAGTAGAGGGACAGAATCCCCTCTGTTTCCCCACTGCCCACACTGCTTTTGATGCAGCCCAGGACAGAACTGGCTTTCTGGGCTGTGAGTGCACATGGCTGGGCCATGTCCAGCCTCTCATCCACCTGCACCCCCAGGTCCTTCCCAGCAGGGCTGCTCTCGATCTGTTCATCCCCAGCCTGTGCTGACACCGGGGATTGTCCTGACCCAGGTGTAGCACCGTGCACTTGGTCTTGTTAAACTTCATGAAATTCCCATGCACCCACTTCTCAAACCTGTCTAGGTCCTTCTGGATGGCAACCCAACCTTCAGGTGTGTCAGCTTGCAGAAGACCAATATGCTAAGCATGTGAAACCAAAACCTAGTCCAGTTTTCCAAGGATTCACGTAACTGGTTTGTGTACATTACTCTGTCTGAACTTGGTTCAAAAGTGAAATACAAAACTAGACTCAAAAGGTACTTAACATGCTGTGACTAAGAAAGTGGTTTTAAGAGTGGGTTCAAGTGTATAGTCTGGACCTTTGAATAGTTTCTTTAGAAAGTCAAATACATTATAAATGTACTCATATTCTACAGGGTTGTATACTGGGGAACTCCTGAAAATTACAACTCTTCCAGGCTACTCAGAAGCCAAAAAAAAAATGCAAACCCTGATCTCCCTGTCAGCTCTGTAGAGACCAGTGTTCAATATGTCTTCACAGGAGCAGCTGGAACTGTTATAGTCACTTTGTCCCACGCTATTAGCACTCCCATTTCCCTTTAAAGAGAAGGCCAGCAGCTTGTTCACAACCAGACCTCCACTGCAGAGGCCACTGCTTTGTTGACCTTTTGGAGAAGCAGGTTGGCATCTGCAGCAGCAGATTCCTGAACAGAGCAGTTTTCCTCTTTGGGTTACTGGTTCCCAAGAATACCTGCACGTCTTTAGTCCCTAGTGCTAGCATTAGAAGGAGCTCACTCCAGCTCACTGCTCCTCCCGCTCAGAGCACCATGAGTGTTCATATAAAGACTGAGCCAAAAGGAAGGAGCCCTTCTTCGCCCTTCTCAGTGCCAAAGCTCTTACATCACCAGACTAAAGCTTTCACCAGCTGACTCTCACTCCAGCCGAAGCTCTGGCAAACCAGCATCTAATCTAGTCATTTTCTGCATTAGAGATTTCTTGGGGAGACAGAATGCAAAGCAGACAGTAGTTTTGCTAGATAAAAACAGGGAAGAAAGGCTTCTAGCAATACCAGATCTATTGTAAAGTATGTATTTGAAAAGAGCTT